GTAACGTAACGTAACTTAAACTAAACTAAAACTAAACTAACTACGTACGACGTACTACTACCGTACGTCCTACTACTTACTACTATACTCTACTACTACTACTACTCTCTCTCTCTCTCTCTCTCTCTCTCTCTATTTTATCCTATTCTATTTTTTATTTTGTTTTAAAAGTTTCTTCTGTAATTTATCTGTTAATGTTTTTTTTTTATGCTTTTATAAAGGGACAAGCTGCCATGCTTCCTGGGGAGGATAATACAGCTATTCTCCAAAGCATGATCCACCATTCAAAACGTTTGTTGGATGGTATGAATCGAGCGGTAAAGCTGAAATACAGTTCACCTGTGACAGCGGACAGAACATGCCACCTAACTCCACCGTCCAACAAAAACAGTGGCATTGGATTTAGTAACACGACAGTTTGCTTCCTAAGAAGCATGAAAGGTTTCTATATTTCCCCTACAGCATAGAAGATCTATGCTTCCCCTACCATCCAGCCGTTCAATTTTGATCAAGAGAGTCACTCATCATTTGATCTTAGATCCGACGTCTCAAAGTACTTTATTTTTAGTTTTTTTTATACAAATTATATGAATATGAAATTTGGTAAGTGCAATCTTTTCATTGGGGCGCACCTATAAAAATATTAAAAGTAAGTTTTCGATAAAATATAATGACCAAAATACCCTTGAAACTTTCAGGGGTATTTTGGTCATTTTATTTTATAAAAAATATTTTATTTATATTTTTTGCTAGTGCGAGTTTAATAGAGGATTGGACGTCCAAAATTTGGTGTCAAAAAAATTTTATAGAAAAAAATTAAAAATAAAATAGTGTAGAGACGTGACATTCTGATTGGGATAACTTAGACCTCTATTCAAAATAGACGGTTGGATAAAGGGAAGTATATAAGTTTTATGCTGTAGGAGAAGCATAGAAAGCTTTCCCTTAATACTATGCCCGCATTCACAAGTTTTAAAAAAATTTATTAAAAAACTCAATCCAAAAAGTCGATCAATTACTATAAGCACATATAACGTACTCCCTAAGAATAATATGTTATACATATATAGAATGCATATAAATTATATTTTTATTTATCAATTTATTTAGGTTAGTCATTAGATTGAGGAGGTTGCATCTCAAAATACGGGGTCCCAAGAATACTACTAGATAGCGTTCTACCAAAAGTAAATGTAAAATATGCTCCTGCAGGAGCATATAACCGTCTATATATAATCTGATATATTTCTCTAGGTTTGCAAGAATTTCTCACTTGGTTATTATCTGATGTCCATTAATGATTCAGTTTCATCAACATAAAATAAAGAGCCGAAGTCAGATGACCAAAATAAAGAGCAAGACTGACAGGAAAAAGCAAATAATAGTACTTACCATTAACTATTGTTGGTCTTCAATTTTGACATAAACAAGTTCGCTTTCTTGCTGCCGTGATCGATACTTGATAAAAGATGGCAACCATTTTCTGAATCTCTCAGGCCACCACCTACAAGCACATAATCAATCATCCATGTAACATGTCATGTATGAACCAAACCCCCCCCCCCCCCCCCCCGAAACAAAAAAAAAAGAGGTCTTGTATGTATGCAAAGAGCGACTTTTCTGTCATCAAGGATAAAAAGAAATGATAAAGAGAAAAAAGGCTATTGCACTCATAATGAACATATGAAAATG